TTCTTTTTAAAATTGGGTCTAAAGGAAAAATACTGTAAGAAGTTGGAGGTTGTGGCAACAGCATTAGAACACGCATAGAGCCTCATGAGGGGACTTCTTAAAATATAGTATTCATCTGGGCATAAAATATTTCCATTGTGTGGATTAAGGAACTACTTTTGTTGCTTTCATAGTTATACTTGATTCAAGTGAAAAATCAGTTGTCCACTTTAGTGCAAATGTTTCATAACTGCACTTCTGAAAAAGACAGCTTACTCTTCTCAAACTAAGAGATGCATTAGGATGGTTTTATTTTGTCAAACTTTACACAACAGATTTCGGCTTTGTATTGGTCATGGGAGGAAGTTACCCTAGCCAGAAGAGACATTGTGCATAAAGTGTAAAATGATACCAAAAAATACTAACTGAAGCAAAACATTGAAAGGTGCCAACTGATAATTTTTACTCTAGTTGTCCCATCGCATATTATCTTTTTTTTTTTTTTTTTTTTTTTTTTTTTTTTTTTTTTTTTTTTTTTTTTTTGAAGTTTTCTTTTGCTCCCTGCATTGGTCCTGTTTCCTTATAGATTCTTTTTTCTGGAGATTTTTTTCCTCTTTATTATTTCCTATTTTCTTTTTAGTTTCTTCTCCCTAAACTTGAAGTTTTGCAATTTATTTCAGGACAGGTTGAGTTGACAGTGTTACTTTTTGGGGATTTAGGCAGCTTGAGAGAGGGCATATCTTTCGGAAGAGCAAACATGTATCATTCACTGAAGATGTAGTGTCTTTGCAGTTTTTCTTTTGAAAAGGAAATAATGTTTAGCTTGAGATACTTGGAGTTTTTTTAACCATTGTTTATGCTAAAGAAAAAAATGAGATAAGACTGCAAATGTACAAATGTTATCTTCTCTAATATTTGAAATAGTTAATATCTAAAAATTCTCTAAAATTAAAAATTCCCAATTAATCCAGAACTCTTCACAGCGATTTTTAAAAGCATCTATATATTTCCTGGATGCTCTAAATTATAATAAAAATCTACACTTTTAGAGATGAAAGGTAAATTAAGAAACCATCTGTTTGTTATGTGTATTTCACAACAACTTAAAAATATCATCTAATTTTTAAAAAATTTTTTTGATGTTTATTCATTTTTTTGAGAGAGAGAGCATGAGAACGTGCACGAGCAAGCGGGGGAGGAGCAGAGAGAGAGGGAGACATAGAGGGTGAAGCAAGCTCCAGGCTCTGAGCTGTCAGCACAGAGCCTCATGCAGGGCTCGATCCCACGAACTGTGAGATCATGACCCAAGACACTTAACCAACTGAGCCACCCAGGCACCCCTCTGATTCTTTCTATAGAGAAGTGACCTACCTAGTTTATAGCAATTACTATTTGAATTTGAATTACATGGTGATCCTCTGATTGTGTTCCGTGTTTATTGTTGTCATTGGTATTCTTATTAGCTAACATGGTGGCTGATAAATTTGCACCCTGTAGAAAGGAAAGGCTCCATTTTGAAACAAACATTTTGTTACAAAATAAAATTATCATTCGTCAGGGCTAGATCTTCGTTTTCCAAATATCATCACAATTTGAACTAAATTCTTTGGGGTGGTGGTTGTGTATCTGTGCTGTGTCATGTATTATTGATTTTTTCTACTTTTAAGACTGAACATTCTTCACGCCCTGAAAGGAAAAGAAGAGACTCTTTCGGGATGTTTGACGGTTATGATAGCTGCAGTGAGGACACAAGTAGCAGCTCCAGCTCCGAGGAGAGTGAAGAAGAAGTTGCTCCTTTACCTTCTAACCTCCCAATTATCAAAAACAATGGACAAGTGTACACATACCCGGATGGCAAATCTGGCATGGGTGAGTATACCGCCTTTCACTGTTATGCAGCTTCATATTGGAGGGTATGTTCTGATTTCATTTCTTCTTTCATTTCCCTTCCTTGGAATTTTTCAAGGGAAAAAGAAACGCAGTCTGAAACTTACAGTTGTAGATGAGATCACTAGATTTCCATTTGATCTATCTTGCCTACCTGCCGTGTTCTGGCAGAAAGCAAGTAGAGCAAAATAAAAACAGAAGGCTGTTGAGAATCACAATGTGGACGTAAATTCAGTAATTAGGTAATAAATCCCAATGTAACTGAAAGTGTGTAGGATCACAGGCTTATAGAGCTGATACACTTGCAGAATGAGTTTCTCTCCTCTACAAAAATTCCTTATAAGAAGTTTTCTATTTTAACACATCCAATGATATGGTATCTCTAATTACCAGATTATTCTTCGTATTGAACCAAAATTATCCTTGTTCTGAATTTTGTCTTTGGGTCTTAATTTTGCCTCTTAAAGGTACAGAGAAGAATTCTAATCCTTGTTAATGATGATAACTGTTCACACTAGAACAGTCCCAAGTGACCCTAATTGCTTCAGCGATCTGTCATAGTGTCACAATGATTTTAATTCATCAATAGCCTGCTCACTTTCCTCTGGGCATGCTTCAGATTTCATGGTGCTGGAGTGACAGCTTACATGACTTGCCCAAGACTGTCCTGTTTTTAGGATTGAAAATCCCATATCCTGGGAAGCACCTCAGGCAAATGGCTAGTCACCTGTGTAATAAGGGCAGCTGGTCACCTGTGTAATTAGGGCAGCAGGTAGGCCACAGAATTGCTTTAACTTTTTTGAAAGTAATACTGATTTCATGTATAACTGAAACCCTTTAGTCTTTACTACAGATTCACCACTAAACCAGTTAAACCAGTCTTGTCTGTTAGCAGTTGACTTTTTAAAAGATATTTTATTTGTGAGTAATTTCTACACCCAACATGGGACTCAGACTCACAACCCCAAGATCAAGAGTCACGTGCTGCACCGACTGAGCCAGCCAGATGCTCCGACTTTTTATTTTTTAATAAACGATATGAGGTTGATTTGAATAATACCTTAGGAGAGGCACGAGCAAGGGCTATGGGAACATGAAGGGCAGGCGATGAATTCTAATCTGGGAGGGCTTCACAGGGCAGGCAGATTTGAGCTGGCTTTGAAGGACAAAGGTGGAAGCTGTGGGAGAACCCTGTGGAAGAAGGGAACTATACTAGCAAAGATTGGGAAGTAGGACTTTGAAGGAATCATGCTGAGCCATTCAGATGTGGCAGGCACGTAAGTGATTGTCCAAACGAAACATTGCAGAGAGATGAAAGATCTGGTGGTACAACCGTCTTTGGGCATGCAGTGTCCGAAAGCTTATTTTTAAATCAGTCAGTGCTCACCGAGGGCCTCTTTCAGGGTCCAGGCATCTGGTACTTGCTGTCAGCAGAGAGGCTTCCTATTGGCAAAAGTGGAAGGACATGCTCCCACTTCACTTGGGAGCCAGACAAGGTCATTTCCAAGGACATCGCAGAGACTAGGGAAGAGGGGAAAGAAGGTGGATCAGGAAGATTTGGAGTTAAGTTTTTGGCTTTGGGCAGGCCTCTAACTCACTGAGCCTGTTTTTCCATCTGTACAGTTGGGATGTGGGTACCTGCTAGGCAGGGTGGCCGGAGGACAAGGATAAGAGGAAGTATCCCCAAAAACTCCAGCTGGGGCTGCAGTTACACCATGGATGCCTGGGAATGCTGAATGAGAACAGGAGCCAGCCTTGTTTGATACCACTTAGATTCAGGAGTGAGTCTGCCATGATAACGTTCTGATTGTAAAAATTGAAAAATGATTTGGGCCCTGAAGAGGGCCCAGGAGTGATTTCAAGCTTACTCCCAAGTTGGGTCTATAGGTGGACCTGATAGATGAAATCAGCTGTATGTTTCTGTTAATGGCTCTCTTGATGAAAGGAAGTGGAGTGGAGGTGATCCGTGCTGGAATAACTGTCCTAGAACCTCAGCAGCCCAAAGCCAGGTTAAGAGGCCTGGCTGATGCAGTCTGAGGGCAGAAAACTGGTGTGGACGTCCCCAGGCCCGTCCACCAGGATGATGGACAGCAGGTGTGGCTGCAGAGGTTTCCCCTGCAACCAGTGGACACTGGTTGAGCTACACACTGTGCTGTTTTGGGAGCCTGTCCCTGAGTGTGGCAGGTATCTGGTGAGAATTAGGCACCACCTCAGTCCGCAACAGGACAGGCTCTGGATTTGGAGACAAGAATCTTCCGGGGGCTTTCCTTTTGAGACCTGCTAAGTTCTAGCCCCTTTCCAGCTGCAGTGGATTTTTTAAAACTTTAAATTATCCCATGTAACCTTTTTCTTACTGAATTTTGATCTTCTTAGAAATTGTTTACTTCTAATTCTATCATTTAACATTGAAGGTTGTGTTATATAATCTTCTAGTTTTGTGTCATTTGCAGACTTGATAATAATGCCCTGGAGGTATTCTAGTCTTAAAAAGTTGAACAGCCCAGGGCCTGGTAACAGAATCTTGTAGGCTGTGTCAAAATACTTCCCATTATTGGGGCACCTGGCTGACTCACTTGGAAGAGCGTGCACCTCTTGATCTCAGGGTCGTGAGTTCAAGCCCCAAGTTGCATGTAGAGATTACTGAAAAGCAAATAAATAAATAAACTTTAAAAGAAAAAAAATTCCTTGGGCACCAGGGTGGCTCAGCTGATTAAGAGTCCGACTCTTGGTTTCAGCACAGGTGATGATCTCACGGTTCATGGGTTTGAGCCCCACGTTGGGCTCTGTGCTGACACTGCTGGGCCTGCTTGGCATTCTCTGTCTCCCTCTTTCTCTGCCCCTCCCCTGCTCTCTCTCTAAATAAATAAATAAATAAACATTAAAAAAACAAAAAAAAGTTTCTACTCACTTATCAGGACCTTAAATTTCTCAATCTTTATTGACAAAGCTGCATGAGAGATTTTATCAAATGTTTTAACTCCTAAAAAAAAAATTTTTTTTTAAAACCCATATTAACTCCTATTAATACATGGTTGACCCTCAAACAACATAGGTCAGGAATGCCAATCTCCCATGCAGTTGAAAATCTATGTGTAACTTCTGACTCCCCAAAAACTTAATTACTAGGGGCACCTGGGTGGCCCAGCCCTTTAAGCATCCAACTCTTGATTTCAGCTCAAGTTATGGTCTGATGGTTTGTAAGTTCATGCCCTGCATCAGGCTCTGTGCTGATTCTCTCTCTCCCTCTCTCTCTGCCCCTCCCTTGCTTGTGCTCTCTATCTCAAAATAAATAAATAAATAATATTTTTTAGAAAGGTGTCTGACCCTTGATTTCTGCTCAGGTCATGATCTCACAGTCATGAGATCTAGCATGGCATTTGAGTTAGCGCAGAGCATGGAACCTCCTTGGGGTTCTCTCTCCCTCTCCTTCTCCCTCTCCCTCTCTCTCTCTCTCTCAAAATAAATAAACAAAAACTTAATTACTAATAGCCTACTGTTGGTAACACTAATAGTCGATTAACACATGATATTTTGTTTGTTTTTTGTATTATTTAATCTATTCTTACAATAGAGTAAGGTAAAGAAAAAATATCTTTAGGAAAATCGTAAGAGGGAAAACACATTTACAACACTGTATCTTATTTATTGGAAAAAACCCACATATAGATGGACCCATGCAGTTCAAAACCCCTGTTGTTCAAGGGTCGATTGTATACTCTTGCCATGGTTTAGTTATACCAGTCCAGTAATATTATAACAAAAGGAAATAAGGTTTATTGAAGCTTTATATGTGCCAGGCTCTGTTTTAAATACTAGAGATACAGAGATAAAACAATATAGAATAGTCCCTACCCTGGTGGAGCTTATATCCTACTCACAGGAAGTATAGTTTGATATGTATAATTCTTGCCAAAGATTCACTATCCCCTTTGGGTCACAGCTTCTTTAGCTACATGGTCACAGACCTTTTTAATCTGTTCTATAACTCTTTCTCCTTTTTTTTAAACTTTTTTTTTAATGCTTACTTATTTTTTGACAGAGAGAGACAGAGCAATAACGGGGGAGGGGCAGAGAGAGAGAGGGAGACACAGAATCTGAAACAGGCTCCAGGCTCTGAGCTGTCAGCACAGAGCCCGACGCGGGGCTCAAACTCACAGACCACGAGATCTTGATCTGAGCCGAAGTCGGACGCTCAACAGACTGAGCTACCCAGGAGCCCCTCCTTTTTTTTAAATGCTTATTTATTTTGAGAGAGAGAGGACGTGTGTGCCAGCAGAGTTGGGGCAGAGAGAGAGAGAGAGAGAGAGAAACCCAAGTAGCCTCCGTGCTATCCACACAGAACCCAACGCAGGGGCTCCATCTCATGAACCCTGAAGTCATGACCTGAGCCGAAATCAAGAATTGGATGCTCAACCGACTGAGCCACCCAGGCACCCCTGTAACTTTTTCGACAGAAAACCATTCAGTTTTTTCTCTCCTTAAACACCCTTTCTTCATCTCTAATCCTGTGGTACCTTCCTTTCATGATTTCTCAATAGATTTATAAGTACTGGTTAAAACTATAAGCCCTTCTAAGTTTAACTGTTTGGGCGGAGATTTGAGCCCACTCCGGCAGTTTTTTGCTCTGTTACTTTCTGGTGTTTTATTTTTTGTTTTTTTGTTTTTTCCTAACTCTTCTCAGGAATAATTGACAAAGATAGTTGCATATGTTTAACATGTGCAGTGTGATGATTTGATATACATTGTGGGATGATTACCAAGATTGAGATAAATAATACCCATGGTTTCACATAACTCTTTGTGTTGGGGTGGTGGGGAAGAACACAGTATCTACTCTCAGCAACTTCCCGGTATGCAGTACAGCATTATTAACTATAGTTACCATGCTGTATGTTAGTGTCTCATAATTTACTCTTCTTATAACTAAAATGTCGTACCCTTTGACCTACCTGTCCCCCTCCCCCCAATCCCTGGTAATCACCATTCTATTTTCTGTTTCTATGAAATCGGCTTTTTTTTTTTTTTTTTTTTTTTTTTTT